TTAAGTCGTCTGTTGTTGCTAGTTCAGAGGAGATTTTTGATACAAATTGCTCACCGTGTTCGGAATCGGGTAAACTACTGAAGCAGTTAAGTTTTGTGTGGATTGTGGTCGTATTTCTGTTCTAAATGTCTTCAACATCACAATAAATTTCCAGCACTAAGATCACACCAGATATTAGACAAATCAGATAAAATCAAATCAGATGGAAATATTGAAACAGGACCCGGATTACCAACAGAAAGGTGCGCAATTCATCATGGCAAGTTAGTGGACATGTTTTGTAAAGACCATGATGAAGTGTGTTGTGCAGCATGTATAGCTATAAAACACAGGTAAAAAATTGTTCATACACCGGTTAATAACTGCATTTAAAATCAATAATTTAAAAGATACAATTGATATCCTGAATTAAATTACTACTATGACGTCATTCCTTTGTTCTGACCGTACTGTATTTTTAATACAGTACAGGTAGGTGTCCAATATTAATGTGTAAGTCCAATATTAATTGTGTAACACATTAATATTAGACAGCGTGCCACGTGTAGTGAAAGAAGCTCGTATGACCACAGGGTTTTGTGGAAAATTATCCAAAAAAAAGAAGAAGAAAGAAAAGAAACCAACAAAAAACGATTAAATAAAATGTAGCCTCTTATCACGGAGAATAATGCAACGTCTTTCCTTCGCACATTACGCATTTTACATAATTTTACGAACAGAATAATAATTGTTATATTACTCATTTAACGATTTCTTATTCCAAGCTCACTGATTTTCGATTTCCAAGCTCTTGACGTGAACGGTAGTGGAGCGTCAGTTAGCTAGGATGATTTTAATGGGGATTGTTTAATTTCTTGTCTATTGTCCGTTTTCTTTTCTTTTTTGAATACGTTTAGTTGACAATCTTACTTGATTTGCTTTATTGTATGTACGTAATGTTTCAGTTAGGTCAACTTTTCAAATTAGTGTAATGGTCAGCCTTCAGATAAATGCAATAGAGAAAATAAATTCATCTATTCAGAACAAAAACGGGTTATGTTATATATAGAAACGATTCCAGACTCCTGTGGTATAAAGAATATCATATTGAATTCAAAAATAAGAAAATATCATTTTGTTCACCAAATATCCAAATTCATACTAATGGCAATTCTTAAACAACATTTTACATCCCTGATAGTTGTAGTATAGTAAACAATACACTAAATGGTCAGTATAAATCCTTCTTAAAAGTCAGTCAATCATCCAAAATATCCGAAGTATAACACAAATTTGAAAACTTTTTATTTTCATTATTTCTTGTAAAAATCCCAAATGTAAATTGAGGTATTCTGTATGCGTGTACAATGTAAGTCCAACATTTTGTGCAACTGGTATATTTTGAGTATATCATTGTGTTCATGTACATACTTGGTTATATTTCAAAACACGAAAATTTCATGGTACCGACATTCTGTTATTCAAGAGGCTACCTATAGGGTTTTGCAAGTAAGAAAAAGATAATTGCTAAAACATTAAAATTATACATTTCTAGCACAAAAATAGATTATTTCTAATTTTGTGATAAATAGCATGATATTTGATAGTAAAAGTAGTGATTTAAGTAAGATATAAGCCTCAAACTGACCAATAAGTAAAATATTGAATTCCCCTCGGCGCTACGCGCCTCATGAAATTCAATATTTTACATATTGGACAGTTTTCGGCTTTTATCTACTACTTAAAATCCAATATTTCAACGTGACGTGTTTTATATGATATACGGTTCACTAGTTAAATGCCACACTTTTGATACAGTTTTTTAACTTTCTCGTTGAATTTATAATTAATTAACTAATCCTTAAGTTAATTTACCTAATATAGACCATGTGCATTACAATTGTAAAATGAAACGTGAACCACTTCTTCTAGTCCTCCATTCAATATTATTATCATTGTGTGGGTTACACAAAACTCATCACAATGTCATGTACATGTGAGGCAAACAATACTTTAACCTCGCTAACTTTATTTCCTAATGCAATTGATACTTCAATTATAAACAGGTAAATGCCTTATTAGGTTGTGTAATCAAAATATATCAATATTTCAGGTCATGTATCAATGTTGATTATCTACCCGACGTTGCCCAGGGTATAAACAACAGTGCTGAGTATGAAAAAACTAAATCATCACTCGAGAATGTTCTCGTCGAATTAAGAGGTGTGATAGAAGCTAAAACAGATAATCTCAAAATACTTCAAGAGGAAAAGGAGCAATTATTGGAAGAGATAGAAAACTTGAAAACGGAAATTCTAATGAAGGTTGAAGAGCTGGTAGAAACTTCGAAACAACAAGTATCATTGAAGTATGGAGAAGTAAAGAAACATATCCAGTCAGATCTAGACGCTTTAAATACTATTTTAACAACGACAACAACAGATCTCCGGAAACTGTCAGAAAAAAATGAATCCCAGTTGTTTGTAAATCTCAAAGCAAGTAAAGTTTCTATCAGGGATTGTAAAACTTTTTTGAGTGACTTATCTACAGGTAAAGTAAATGAGAAGATGGGATTGGCGGCCAATAACAGTCTGAAAGGTAAATTGAATGACATCGAGAGTTTGGTCTCTGATGCAAATTTCTTATGCGGGCGTTACATTGATGTGAAGGAATATAAAGCAACACCATCTGGGAAATACAAGATCGATCCGGAACATTGTGTGGTAACTGGTATATGTGCGATGGATGGTGGTTATTTTGTCATTGCTGATTACACACATTCAAAACTGAAGCGAATGAATAAAAAATTCACGGCGACAGATTTTGTTGAAGTATGTGGACATCCATACTCAGTATGTAGAGTAGGACAAAACGAGGTTGCAACGTACATAAATTGTAAAGTTCAGATACAGCTTTTTTCGCTCGGAAACACTATGCAGTTGACATCGACAATAAATATCAGCAAGTGTAATAATCCTGTTGGTGTTTGTTTATGATAAACGCTTGACGCTATCATGTTTATGTGAAAGTAATAAAATGTTGTATATAGCAAGTCCGGTAACTTAAATAAAAACCTGAGAAGAATAAAAATGGTGACCAAGCTATTTAAAGCAGCAAGACAAGTAGAAATGAGCACAAATAATAAGCTCATGGTTGTTTCCAAATGACGACGGAAATAATGTGAAGCATTGACAAGAGATGGGTGAAATAGTTTGGGGACATTTAGTGATCTAGCATTGAGAGGACCATGGGGAGTCTGTTTTCCTGCCAGGAGACTATTTTAGTCAGTGGACTTAAACATGTACTGCAGATTAACAAGAAAGGTGAAAGATCATGAACTGTTGGGAGCTTCTGAAAAAACTAAACCCAACCGTTTGCATTGGCTTTTGACAAAATGGGTTCGCGGCTGTTAGTAGGAAGCAGGTCAAACGAATTAAGCGTGTACACGTTGTCTAAGACATAAATTATACTTGCGGGAAAATCAGAAACACCATTGACTGGGTGTGACACTATCAAACTTGGTTATCATTATAGTTTTGTGATAAAAGAATGTTCATTGTTTTGGTAAACATCATTTCAAATAACAGGCATGTCTTGCAACCTCATGTGCACGAAATTATTAACATTTGTAATTGATAATTTTCAATTGACTAATTTGGTGAAGTGTGCTTATTTAACTTAAAGCATTGCATACTTTATCTGCCAAATGAACATGTCCACTAAGTTTTTTAGTCTTCATCTCGTCGATGTTTCTAATTATTGTTACCTTTTCTGAATTAATTATGTAGATGTGTCACATTTAAAGCTGCATGCCTCCAAATGAACCAAAATATTTTAAAAATAATCAAAATTCAGGAAAAAAAGTACTGAGATTTTAAATTCTAGATAAAGGGGGAAAAATCCAAGTTCTGTGCGATTTATGGCCAATTTTGCAGTATTTTCACCATATTTCTACAGCTTAGGGATATGTTTGCTTATTTACAACTCTTTTTTCCTTTTTGGTAATTTACATGGGTTGTAGGTGCTGTTTGCAATCTGAAAATTTTTTACTTTGCTCACTTCACAATATTTTACATTTTAATATATTTTCAAAATTTTCATGAAAATTAGCATAAATCTGGAGGTGTGCTGCTCCAATGTTGCAATTTTGTTGTAATTTTGCTTTATTTTATGTTGTTTTTTTTCCTCTTTTCTTTTGCTATTTATTACACCGTGTACAAAAATATTTGATTTTGGCGGCCATTCCGAAAAATTCATATTCAAAATTTTGACGTGGTTTTGATCTTGTAATAGCTTGTTTATAGTTAGATATATCAATACAGTCATGTTTTATTTTTATAAACAAATTTTACTTAATGCTGCTTCATTTTCTTTTGAAAAATAACTAATTTTAATAAAATATTTTGTAAATAATTGTTTTATTAAAAAAATAAAAAATTTAAAATTCGTGACTTTTATTCTATCTTAAAAAATATGACAATAATTTTTTTTAAGGGGGTTTTTTCCAAAGGGTTCTGATCTAAAACTTCAGTAGTGTCTCTACAAGTTAATGTCACACCCCAAAGGTTTTTTACAGTGTTTTTTCCAAATATTTAAATGTTTTTTTCCTATATAAACCTTACCCCCGGGGGGACAACTTTAACCCTTGGAGCATGATTTTAAAAATTTTTGTAACAAAAGATATAATGCAACCTGTATGCTCTCGTCACTTTGAGTTCAGGGGAGATTTTTGAGACGTTTTTACTTTATATACAGGTATGTCAGTGACCCCAAACCTGGCGCATTAGTCATATAATTTTCGTTGTAGTATGTAAGAAATGCTACATACCAAAAATCTATGCTCTGGTCATTTGAGTTTTATAAAGATTTAACGTAAATGTATTGCGCTAATGTATAAAATGTTGTACAGGACTGAACAAAAGGTCATGTTGCACGCCATATGTATGTCGTAGACAGTAATATTTCCCAAAGATTTTAAAGATATATTTTCTGTAAAAGTCTAAGTAATTCAAGTGACCCTCAGGGCTTCACCACATCTTTGGCCCATGGTGCATAAATTAACGTTTGTATAAGTAAACTAGATAATGGTATTTGTCAAAAAAACTAAGCTTTTGGAATACTTAAATGTATTTCCTATTTAAGTCTACATAAACCAAGAGCAAGGGGCATAATTTATATAACTTTTGAAGAGGACCACAAGGTGGTAGTGTTTAACTTAACGCCCGACTACTGTCATCACAAAAGCTCACTTCTGTAGCATAGGTAAGCTAAAATGCTTTCTTCTGTTCTACACAACTGGGGTCACATTAAAATAATACTGATGCTGGTAGCTAGATTTATTTTATGATACTTTGGGCGAAAAAATTTACACAATTCATTGAATGACAATGAAATATTCAAATGCAAGTTTGGCAGGTAATGAAGGAAATCACAAGTCAAGGAATTATCAGTAAAAGCTTTTAATTAAGGACATTACAGATGTAAAATTTCTCGCAGACAAGACATGCCCACCTGCAGAATGTCGAGCCCACTTGTCTTAATTCAAACCTGAACCAATAAGTTTCAGATCAAGGAGAAAGATGTATATGTAGGTGAAATTTGCGCAACACATCTTCTTTATACCCAAGGCAAACTCTTTACAATGCATCATCTTAAATGACCTTGACTTCTGACCAGGTGACCTGGTTCATGGACATACCTTGATGCAAGCACCCTGCAGTCTTTTTGACACTGATGTCGAGCTCAGCCTAAAAAATCCTCTGACCATTAAGCCTAATACTTCAAAGTACATGTATAAGCAAGAAACAGAGCGTTAAACCAAATTTTACTATTTTTCATTTGACCTTGACCCCATATTTTCCTCAAGACAACATGTAGAATATTTCTGCTACGTTATATTAAAATCAATTCATGTATATAGACATTAAACTGCAAATGAATAGTTTGATTTATTATTTGGCCCTACAGACACCTTAATTTTTCGCACAACACTACCTCAGTATGGAGATCCCCCTCCCCCCCCCCCCCGTGTTCTATCAAAAAACCTCCATGCATGTAGAAGTTTCACTCCGGGTTATGCGCTGACCCCTTAGTGTGACCTTGACCTGGGTTTTGTGTGAGGCATACTACCCCATTATGGTGAACATTTATGTTAAATAATTTTGTAATCCTTCAAAGAATGAGCAAGATATAGACCGGACAAATCCGGACGCACATGCACAGAAAATACGTCAAAAGTGGCGACTAATTCGAGCTCACAGCAAGCAGGCTAACAAAGATTATAGTTAGTTTAACATATTATAGCTGGATTGTAAAGAAAAGATTATTTGAATCACTTTCGAGTCTGCTTCCTGGAACTAACCAGTGCTGGTGTTATACAAGGAAATATGGCCCTGACTCGAACCAACATTATCAGCACATTTAATCCATTAGATTAACTCTCTTTGAAAAAGTTGATAGTTATCTGTAAAAAAACAAGGAAGCACTGATAAAAAATCCAGGAGATATCTGACTGTTAGATTGTGAAATAGGAACTTCAGCTATCAAAACATACAACATCAATGTCTTAATAACAACAACATTAATTACCAGTTTTCTCACCGTTTATTACATCAGTAAAACAAAAAAAAATCAAAGAGAAGAAAAATTACTAAAATAAACGGTACAACTTGTATGTTAGTTAATTAATGAATTGATGACAATTATTAATTCATCACTATCATGATTCAATGAAACATATAACAAATAATAAAACAATCATTTATATATTCACAATACATGTACTATTTACATTTTATACATATCAAATCCGATCAATATAAAAATGTAGAAAACCCTACCTAACAAATGTTAAGAAAACTTTACTCTTTGATAAAATTCTTGTCAATAATTTTATCAACATGATCTCAAATTCAGAATTAAACATTAAAATACTTCTAACAAAGATATACAACATAATTCTGGTATCAGTCCAAAAATGATATTAAAATAGTTTCTAGTTCCTAAATAAAAAAATGTTTTGATTTCGGGTTAGTTTAAAAAAAGAAAAGGCCAAAGGTCATTAACATACTGGAGATTAATATACCAGTTACATGGTATAATATACAATATACTCTAATCTCTCTTAACTCACAAATGGTGCTTCAATATGAGGCAAAACAATGTATGTATAAAACATATAATGTGCCCTACATCTTTGTTATATAACACAAAGCATTCATATCAAATGGTATATAACTGCCACAACTTTCTCTGTAACTCTATAGTTTATTATTATCAGTAGCATGTTGACTATTTTATTGTTTGTCAATCGCGTGTTAGAACAGAAACATTCATATTTTGAAAAATTAAAAATTTGCTATGTTGCTAGATTTTTGTTTTTGTTTATTTCAGTGATCTGGACAGAAAGATACACGTTTAACTTCTGTCCCAGCAGTGATAAAGAATTGTGTTGAATGATCTTTAACAAAAACTGAACCAAATAATATGTTATAATACCACTTCTTACTACCAAATATTTTGTCAACAATTTATGACTGCCATAGATGGTACAATTTCATAGCTTTCTATATTTCCTGTCGTATTTTATTTCCCTATACTCGGCAATAATTACATGTATAATTATATACGACTAAGATATTGATGAAGAATAAAACTGATGTTACATTCCTCCCCCCCTACCCCCTATCTTGGAAAGGTTACTCATGAGTTTTCACATACATTGTTGTGCTGTAACATTTACTCCTCTGTCACCATAAAACTAGAATTAATTTACATAACTTTGATTTTTAAATGCATAGAAAACGAATGAAGAACAGTTGATGTATATGTCAGATAACAAAATCTTATGAAATAATTCATGAATTAAATAAACATGAACTACAGAAAAAATAAGAATATATTAATTGCACTGAACAACAATGAGAATGAGAGTTATTGTGAACTTACATTTGCTTATCACATCATTCTACCGGTTTACTAGAATTCTGTCAAAATT